TCAGTCTAACTTTAAGACTTTCAGAAGGTTACACGCCCACACATAATTTATTGGGGACGGTAGAAAGATCTGGATTTTTAAACCACCTCGCTTATTACGTTGATGATTCTTCGTCTTTTATATGCATAAATTTATGGTACGTAATGCCTTTTCTATATGTGAAAACAGAATATTATATTCGACGTTGACGACGTTACGTATACATAAGTGTGCAGATGATGTCCAAATCTTTAGTACTCAGTGTATTAACCAGAGGAGTGTGATGGAACTACAGTCTTTATAACTTCTCGTTTCTTGTAGCCTATACATAACTGGATATCATCTTTACGTCTTGAAGGCATTCTACCTTCTTTGAAACATAAGTATAAATTCTTCCTTCTCTCACCCCCCCCCCCTCGGTTGCGTGACAGCCCGTATATATATTGCAGAATATCATTCAGCACAATTTACTTCAATTTACTCTCAACGTCCTTGCCACTCGAAGCCACCTGATGCTGTACAGATAAAGATGGTTCGTAATGATGCAGGAGAGAAATGTTCCGTCTGTCCTAAGCAGTAGGATCGGCTTCTTTGGCAAGCACACAATAAATATTTTGCAAGATATAATCTGACAGACTTTCATTCAGTTCACCATTAGAGCCCGTTCATACGGAAACCACATAATAGTGTACAAATGAAAAATGTTCTTACATGCAAGATATATGGGACAAATACATCTTTCCGTTGCCTCGCAGAAACATCAGCTTTGTTGCCAGTCGTGCAATCAATATGCAACTGATATTTTCGTGCAGACTAACAGAACCGCTCGAAGTATTCATTACTTTCGGAACAGCGAGATGTGTATTGTACATATGCGAAAAGCTCGTTATTCCCACTTAATTTTCTTAAAGTAAACTCTAATCAACTTACTGAGTTACATACTTGTCATGAAAATTTCGTGAATACTTATTCCCATTACAAAATCAGAATTTCCGAAGGTGCCCCTAAATAGTACATAAATAAGGAGAATGCTTATTTGTTAGGACAGTAATATGAATAGACATATATATATATTCCCGTTGACCAGTGTTGTATTATTTAAAAACATATATTCCTGTTGACCACAAAAATATCTGCCGAAAGTGCCTGTAAATATGCCGAAATAATAATATTTCTTACTTCGTTTGATACTATTATGGATATACGCCTATACTCCTATATTCATAATGTAAATTAAACGGTTGCCAAAAACAAAGCGCTATGGACAAAGATTACTTTTGCGCTGCCAGAACTGGCTATTGTCGCCTATGAGTCACATAAGAAGGCAGGGAATGTGACAGCTAAACAAAAAATTGTTTACGTTAGAAAGTGTATTCAGAGCGGGTATAACTCTGTAGTTTGATCTGTTTCGAGTCTCAGCTAGTTCAAGCTGTCTTAAGATTATACCGTTTATCTTACGCCTCGAGGTTGGCCGGGATTCTACCCTGTGACAAGAAGTCTCTGCTACTTTTCTAAGAACTACATTGTTCGGTAAAATAATGGCAGTCCTATAATAAACAACACTTTATACATGGCGACCCAACCCCGTCGACCTCGACTCTCTGATAGCAGAACTGAAGGTTCAACACCTATAATACGAAGCCCACCGCTGGATAAAATACTCAGCTATTTTTATCCATCATAGGCCCTACTAACCTATCTAAGAAAAAAAACTCCGTGGCCCATAGTCCGCAAGCTAACTATACCGACTGAGCGACCGCCGTTTGTCGGCGAAGTTAGTGTCAGCTTTTGCAGATAGAGGGTGGTGCGTGGTAAGCGCAACGGATCCCCACGGCCGTTAATTTCGGTTTCCTAGACCGGAACCGCGATTTCCTTGAAACAGCTCCTCAATTATCCTCATGAGGCTGAATGAACTCCGTTCCAGACCCACTACTTCTCAGAAAATCTGGTAGCGCCGCGAATCGAACCCAGGACCTCTGGATATGTAGCCAGAAACCCTGACCACTAGACCACAGACGTGGTTTAACCTATCTAAGCAGATGTGATTTAATATTATTGCCTCAGTAAATCTTATGCATATGCAGCAGACTGCCTCAGACCGTGACGGTTCTGACTTACAGACGAGTAGTACGTAGTAAGACCCATAAAGCGCAACAAGTTTAATGTAAGACTGTCTTTACATGCTTCGGCCACTATTGGCCATGTTTGCACGTATGATTAACACATGTTGACTTAAAGGGATTTCTACCATCAGAAATCGAGAGTAGCCTAAAATATTAATGTAATTAAAATAATGTAATATTTGAGGTTTTCACGGCGGTGACTATGGAGAATGCCGTTTACTGGGATGTGGCGCCGTGTAGATATTGTGTAAATCGACGTTTCGGAGGAACGTATCGCATCCATATTCAGGGTATAAAATTTGCGAGAGAGGAACCAGCGTGAGCAAGTGGCTGCAGCCACATCCCAGAAGACGGCATCCTTCTTATTTAAAGTAAGCGTTGTTCTTAAACGTAATTCGACAGTATCAGTTAAAATTAATTGTCGGGTTGCATACGCACATGAACATAAGGACGGCCCTGTTTTTCTTATGCTTGTTACGTAGAAGGTCCTGTGTAGCTGGCCGTATTTCCGTCTGTGTGATATTGTGTACGTGTTGCGGGGAGGCCCGTGTTAGTGAGCGGGACGTGCTGTGCCACGGGCCTCACCGGAACACGTACACAATATCACACAGACGGAAATACAACCACGCAACAGTCAGAAGAAAAACAGGGTCGTTATGTTCACGTACTCATATAAAAAGAATTTTAATTAATTTTAACTGACGCTCTCTATTTTAACAACAAGCTCTCCCTGTAACAGGACGTGTAGGCCAATAGGGTTGTGAGAGGTCGAGGCTCCCACATTTTCTAGCCAGTTGGATCACAGAGGCGGTAAGGTTGGCAGCCTTACACGCCGGCCGTCCTCTACCCCCAGGAAGATTCCTGGTACTCATTTCTGTTAGAGGCTGAGTTGATCCCAGGGCCATAGTGCGGCTGCAATGATTAGGTAAATTAAAAAAAAAATCCACCTCATCGGAATTCGATCCCGCGACCTTCCGGCTTGTAGCTTAGTGCCTCAACCAACTACGCTACCTCGTGCCTTAGTCTATCCCCAGTTTCTAAAAGTACAAACACTTATCACAACACCCGTTTGTAGTATTTTTGTTTTCTTGGCACTACAGCCTCAGTGGGCCTAGGCCTACCTCCATGAACTTCCCGTTCACTTCGGTTTTTCTAGATCTTACACATACGGTAGGACTCCTTGGGCGAGTGATCAGCTCGTCGCAAGGCCTCTACCTGTAGACAAACACAGAAAAACGCACACAAACATCCATGCCCTGATTGGGATTCGAATCCACGATCTCGGCTTCCGAGCGAGCGAAGATAGTACATGCCTTAAACCGCTCAGCTACCGTGACCGTTTGTAGTTTATATAAATTATTAATAGTGTTGGCTTTGCCTTCTGATGAAGGCCAGTTGTGGCTGAAACATGTAAAGGCAGTTCATTTACATAAAACATGTTGCGCTTCATGGGCCTTACTACCTATTCGTCTCTCAAAATACGTGACGGCTCAGGATGTCTCATGTAAATATTACTGAATTCTATATTTTAGGTGCCAGGTTTTCATCTTGGCCGGAACACTGAATACACTGAGATGATTTTTGTTGTGGTTCTCCTCACTCCCTCCAGGAAAATGCCGGGAAAGTAACTTAAACTGGTTCAGGGCCTTTCTTGCATACCCCTTCTTATTCCTTATTCACGACCATCCATCATTGGACTGTATGTAGTCTGAGTTACTACAACGTTTTTAAATATACTACAAATAAATAAACAAACACTAAAATATTTCTCTTTTAGGCTGGACTAGTAGCTCAAAGGCTGAACGAAATAAACATAATGCACGGGTTCTCACGGAAGCCTTGAAAGGGACTTCTAACCTGTCTACAGAGTGACAGAAACAGATTAAATGCTTTGAAATTCCGTCATACGTTTGGCTCAGGTCGTCTATGGCACAAGACAGGCAGTAGTCGTGAGTATATGAACTGGAAAGAACTTTGCACTGCTAGCGAAACTACTGGCAATTCCCAGCATTTGTATGAATGCACTGGGAAGATCCAGAAACACGAGCATTATGACATCCCATCGCCGAGGTCAACACCCTGTATCTATTTAAATTACATAAGGATTGCTAACATCTGAAACGCGATATTGGGCATTTATCACTGCACTTCCCACTAATAAGCAGTCAGATTGTCGCTTAATTATAAAGATTGATTAAGCGTTAATTGTAATTAAAAAGCCTCTAGATGCTGTTGAATCAGTGAGTGTCATGGTATCGAAATTTGTATAAATGAGATAAATATTTTATGGTCTTTGTAGGCTTGTTTATTTTTGTTAGATACAATTAGGTGTTTCACAAATATTGACTAGCTGATTATTAAATGAAGTTACTGAATAAGTTGACCGTTCTAGTGTCATTAATAAGGAACATGCATTTAAGTGGCATATTCTAACGTACTTTAAGTTATTTAGTTCAGCAATTCAGTTAACGAAACTTTGTGAGGTACAAAAATTACAGAATGTCAAACGAAAAACGTGAGAAATGTTACAAATGGTCAGATAGAAACGCTGTAGGATAACTCTATAGTGGCCTATCTTAATGCGTCTCCCAGAGGCAATGACTGACGCAACTAAAAGCTTCTCTCGGGATAGCTGATATCGGCAGAAATTCAATTCGGATACCTTCCAAATACTCATCTGGTGTTACACTGCAAGTTATGACGAGTTACTGTTAGTATGCATAATGATAGATTTATATTAACCTGAAACGCCATTTGTTTTGCACCTTCTTATTGAACTTCTGTGTTAAAATTTAATATTTTAAAATATACACTCCCAATAAGAATTAACAGATACAGTTGCGATAATTAATATTACACGACACTGTTTCGGTAGGTCAGAATGACCCTTACACTTACAGAGAACAACTAGAGGTCACTGTTGTCGCGTGATGTATGCGCGTGTTTCGATGGCTCCACAACCAAGAGTCTGCTTCCAGAATCCCGCCCGTCGCAACACTGGCTCTTCAAACCTGGCGGTAAGGACAGGTACCCATCGCGACGCCTCCTCCCGGGCGCAGGACATGCGCTGCACTTGCCGTCTATCTGTTGTATCAGATTCAGGCTTCGAAAACTAAAGCTCACAATTCCATAAAAGCAATGGCGTCTTTTCCTGCAAATGTTCATACATTAAACGTCTGTAAACCATGAATATTTTTCTGACACTTTATTCGAATACCATATTTCCGTACACTTTAAATATTAAGGTGGCTTGACTTGCTTACTCCACATATTTCATTTTTACCTGTTATGTAATCGTATTATAACTTAATGCAAGGTTTCTCGAAATCTATAACACAGAGATCATCTAAAATATTGAATAAATGTATACGATCCGTTCTATCTGCCGGTCAGCGATAATTGCAGTTGTGTACACTGTAACAGGTCCCTCACAGACTGCTCCGTGACAACAGAACAACTTCTGCACTCCGAGTATGCTGTACAAGTAAAATATGCTTATACGGTGATGAAAATTTCAAGAAAATTTTCGCCGGCTGCAGATATAGGAATATTTCCTTAAATCACCCTATTAAATATTCCTGACTTTCCAGCTATATTTGAAATAATTCTTGAAAGCGCGACGAATCCCCTTAGAATATGAAGAAAGCAGTCTTATGGGATGTGGCACCGTGTAGATGTGGTGTCAACCGGCGTTCCTCCGAAACGTCGGTTAACACCACATCTGCACGGTGCCACATCCTAGAAGACTGCTTTCATCATAGTCACCTCCGTTAATACCTCAAATCCCTTTAGAATACTTCGCAACCCCCTGATGTGGGGGGGGGACAAGAGTTTGTGAAGCCATGACTTAGAGGGTCAGAAATTGAAAACTGAGCAGTTTGTGTAAGATTTGAGGCTTTCACGGCGGTGACTATGAAGAAAGCAGTCTTCTGGGATTTTGCACCGTGTATATGTGGTGTTAACCGACGTTTCGGAGGAACGTATCGCCTCCATCTTCAGGGTAGAAGAAAAAATATATAAGAAATCTGCAAGCAAAGAGACCGTGAGAACCGGTAGAAGCAGACTCTTTGCTTGCAGATTTCTTATATATTTTTTCTTCTACCCTGAAGATGGAGGCGATACGTTCCTCCGAAACGTCGGTTAACACCACATATACACGGTGCAAAATCCCATAAGACTGCTTTCTTCATGAGCAGTTTGTATTTGTCAGTTAATATACGAACCTGTGCGGAGACTTACACAACTATAATTCCTAAACAACTCACTTCCGTACTTCCAATCGCAATGTTGAAATAGGCTCTTGATGATCAGTGGTGACGAGTAAAGAACAATCAGCAGGAATCGGCCATGACATGATGTGAGGCCCAGAGTAGCCTAGGAACATCGAGAAGAACGTAAGTCCTTATAATATGTGAATCTTTATTTCCTTTCTCTATGCGTTTCTCTCATCTCATACGAATACTACATCAGACATTGCCTATTACGTGGGGTATATTTGCTGTACTCAAATTTGGGGAACAGTTATAAGCGAGGGAGAGATTCTACTCAGCCAGCCTTACCGCCATCTTTGAGCCGATATTCTAGATAATGTGGGATCCTGAACGTCTCACAACCAGATGGGCCTTCTTGGCCTGTTACAAGGATAGCTTTACTTAATTTCGACCACGGGACAGCAACTATTGATGGAGGAAGTTTCCTAAATATTTGAATTTGGCAAATTCGCGTTATACGTATTTATTCGTATTTAGTGTTCACTTTATATTCACTCTCTCCAGGTCTCGCAGGCACGTCGCTTTGCCGCCTCAATATGGCGGCTAGGTGCACGACTATTCGCACTCCAGTTCATTGTCCCCGCGATCGTCGCATTATGGTCACTGCACAAGGGTTCGAGGTTTTGACGTTTACGTATCTGACTTATTTGTCCTCTGTTGGCCTTAATCATGCCTGAGCTAAAGCAAGTAGCTACAATGCTTCGACCTGAGGAACTGAGGCAGAAAGTGGTGCAGGTGAAATGTGAGTGCTTTCACAGTTAGCCGTCATTGTGGAATAAATGAATCTACGCTAAGGTCAATGAAGAAAAATGAAGACGCCATCAGGGATTGTGTTACAAGTTGTGTTCTTATAAATTCAAAAATTTATTACAAGTCTTAGTTAAAAGAGTATAACAACTGGAAAAGGCCCTTAGTCTGTGGACTGAAGACGAAAACTTACTTACTCATGAAGCTGAGCCCTTCTGGAGGAGCCGCCAATTCTGCAGCTACTCAAGAATTTCCCAGCATTTTATGGAACCCGAAGGTTCATTACCGTGTTCACAAGAGCCCTCCAATGGTCCCTATCCTGAGCCAGATCTATCCAATCCATACCATCCCATCCTATCTCTCTAAGACCCATTCTATTATTGTCCACCCACCTACCCCTTGGTCTTCCTTGTGGTCTCTTTCTTTCTGGCTTTCCCACCAATATCCTATACGCATTTCTCGTCTCCCCCAATCTGAAGACAAAAACTAAAGGAAAAATCCTTCGAGTGTCTCAGTTATTCATGTTACGGCAGACAGGCCTCTGGTCACTTTAGGAGCCAGAGGAGTGTGGCCTCCAGGCCATGCAAGTTGCAAGCATATGACGGATGTTTGGACACATTAAGAAACGGCAGCAGCTCGCACAGCGAGAACCTACTCGTAATTGGCGACTCGCCTTCAGCAGACCACGAGGCAGCGCACAGGTTTCTCGAGGAACCAACTCCATAGAACCGAGGACTTCCTTGGTTGTCGCCAGCCACTCCGTTTCTCAAGAATATCCTAACACGTTACGGAACCCGGCTCCACAAGAGCCCATCATTTTGCCCTCATCTTCAACCAGACGAATTCAGTTCACAATTGCCAACCCCGTTCCTTTCAGCCTTCTTGGCTGACTTCTTCGAGAAAAACACGATATTTGTATCGTTATATTCGGATGCCCCCTCGTTGGTGTCTCCACCTTATCGTGGTGAGGGGGTTTGAGTATGCCAAGGACCCTGAGAGCTATACCAGCGGTAGTGTAGCTACTGGGAGGGCCTCCCTTGCTGGACAGGTCAAAGGGTAGGCATCAGACGAAGAGAGACACCAAAAACCAAAAACTGATGCCGGAAGCAGCGTCATCAGCAGCGACTTGAAGCACAGAGCAAATGATGCTCGAGATGGTTCAAGTTCGTATAGCAACCAGAGTGGTTTGAATGGCTATTGTACTGCGATGTGGAAAGCAAATGGAAAAACTACCACATTATCACTTTTCCTGGATAGTCTCTTTCCAAAAACAGAGATGCCATGACAAAACAAACCGGAAGGGCGGATAGATGTGCCCAGAAGACGAGGAAGAAGACGTAAGAAGATGCTGGATGACCTTGGGGACAGAAGAGGATATTTTAATTGAAGGAGAAAGTTTGAGATCGCATTAAGTGGAGGAACTGTTTTGGAAGAGACTGTGATTCTGTCATCTGACAGATTACTGATGAATGAATGAATTCGGATGTCTTTCCTAATGGCTTTGGAACACAATGGCAGATTTACATGCAACTTCACATAAATATCGCGCCCCTAGAGGTCGCCACAATATTCTACTGTTCAACTTTCTATCCATTACACCTACATGGCAATCGGAATTATGATATCAGAGGGAATCTAGTGCCACTTAGTGTAGTGTACTAATATTTCATATGATGTTAGACGTTGGTCTACAAGCAACATGCAGCCAGTCTTGGGGCCATATTTGTTGAGTCTAATATAATATTATGACTGCCGCACAAAATCTGTAAATTTCATTGCGATAAAGAACGAAGCAATGGAGATAGACTTAAAGAATTCTATATTAAATAATTCTTAGAAACTAAACTCCGTGGCCTGTAGTCCGTAAGCGAACTATACCGAACGCCTCTGTGGTCTAGTAGTAAGAGTTTCTGGCTACAGATCAAGAGTTCCCGGGTTCCATTCCCGGCGTTACCAGATTTTCTGAGAAGTAGTGAGTCTGGAACGGGATCCACTCAACCTCGTGAGGATAATTGAGGAACTATTTCAAGGAAATAGAGGCTCCGGTCTAGAAAAAAGAGACTAACGGCCGTGGGGATCCGTTGCGCTGACCACGTGATACCCTCTATTCGCTGAAGTCACTAATATCGCTGACATGCGGCGGCCGCTCGGTCGGTATAGTTCGCTTGCGGACTAAAACCACAGAGTACGTTTTTTAATAACGAAGCAATGGAGATAGGCTTAAGGAATTCTATATTAAATAATTGTTACTTTCTTATAAATTAATGTTAGACTTTAAGCTTATTTATAATCTGTCAGAATCCTCTATAAGAGCAACATTTGCCCAGAAAAGTGTTACTAAAGCGGTAAAGTTGTCCCTGTACTTAATTAATTAAGCACCACGCTATGAAGGCGTGTGGGGGAGTAGAGGTATAGCTCCAGCATTCTTTATTTCTGCGGTAGAATGAAGTGCTTGGTGAGATTCACTCCACGGCCGCTTTATCTCAGGAGAAAGAGTTCCAGGTACAAATTTTATCGGAGGCTGGGTGAGCCCCAGAGACAGTCTGAACGCTGCGGAGAAGAGCAAAATCGCTTTCCCATGCTGGGAATTGAACACCGGCAGGCCAGCCCGTAGCTTGTCGCTATACCGACTGAGCTATCCCGGCTCCTCTGCTTGTTTTCGCGGTACATTTACTAAAATTAGAATAAAATACGACATTAAATTGTATTAATTTTAGTTTCTCTTTCATTATCGAAGGGGCACTGGATAGCGTAGTTGGTTGAGTCACTATGGTATAAGCTGGAAGGTCGCGGGTCCGAGTCCCGATGATGTTATTGGATTTTTTCAATTTACCTAATCCTTCCAGCCGCATTATGGCCCTGGGGTCGACTCAGCCTCTAACAGAAATGAGTACCAGTTAACTTCCTGCATGGTAAAGGAGACCAGCGCAGAAGTCTGACAACCTTACCGCCTTCTGTGAGCAGACTG